ATGTGAAAAATACACAGAAATTAAATTCTGTTAAAGACACCTGGTTTGGGGATGTGTCTGCAAAACGAAAAGCATTGCCGCAGAGCGCCATGCATACACAAGCTAGTTTCAGCCTATATAGGAGTAACGCTAGTAGCAACAGCATGACAACTTAGGCCTTAGGGTGAACGAGTAAAGGACAAACTAGCTAAGGTCTTTCACTACACTTCAGTGTTTACCTGTGCCATGGTATGTTGTTACTCAGGGTAGATTACATCTAATGCAGGTATGTTGATCTACAGTAAATGAATTTGAATTAAAATTGTTTTGACAGGTAGGGTTTGGGTTTTTAGTTGGGGGTGGTTAACTTTTTTAGTAGGTCCAGCATAAAGAGTTCTGGTTTTGCACAAGTGTAATATCAGTGTTGTTTCTTTGTCCAGTAGTAGGAACTTAATCAGTGCTAAGCAAGAAGTCTGCTTACAGATGTATAGACCTTTTTATACGGTGCACTTCTTTTGCTCTTAGCTGTGCTGCCTTCGTACTGCTCAGTGGCAGTTGTGAGATTTTGATGTTTAATTTAGTGTGAGTTTAGTGCTAGCTGATGTGTGTTGTTCAGATTGTAAATTTAGTAGTATATTGAAGAGGACTAGTTATTAAACAAGATTTAACTTGGTATATCCATTGCTGTAACTCTTGGTGCAAACAAGATGCTGAAATGCACCCAAGTTCTACATTTTAAAACATTTTATTTTTTAACATTTTTAAGTATTTCTGCATTAGTGTACTTCTTCACTGTGCTACACTTTATTTTGCATGCATGTCACATACTGTTTCTTTTCCCCAAAAACTAACATTAGGAAAAATTGCTGCATGACCTCTCAGCAGTTGTTTTGGAGACAAATGTCGCATGGAAAATTTTACCAAGTAGAACTGAAGGGACAGATGTGTTTAAGATTTTAGAAATATATGTAATCTTTGATTTTTATCTGTAATGGTATGTCTTGCAATAATGTAAAAAGGATATTTCTTAGCTTTGTTAAGAAAAAAAAGCCAGAGTAAGAAGGAAGTGAATTATGGACTACTTGCTGTTGTCTCCAGAATGACAAACTTTGATCTACTGTCATTTTGCATGTGCTTGTTTCTCAAATACAAGACACACTGAAAAGGGCAAAGTAGCAGTTAGATGTTGTTTTTCCTTCCATCTTTTTGGTGTTTATGGAAAACTGTCAACCTCTGAGCTGCAGTGTTTACAAAATGTTAGCTGAATACTGCATTACTTTTGCTTCCTTTTTTTTTTTCCCTTGGGATATGACAGAACTACTGTTTAAGCATTACTGAAATAAATTTTAGATGAGGAAATAACAGTAGATAATGGGGAAAAAGGTGACAGTGACAGCTTAGGCAGAAATTGATTGTATCTTAAGAAAAATTATGGGTTCCTTCTTGCTCATAACTTCAATACACACACCCTTCTTCAGATGCTCTATTACAAAATAAAGTGGCTTACCACAGCAACTGCCTGGGACTGCAGGAGTTCTGTTGAAGTCATTACGGTGAAATACGAAATGTTTATCAGAACGTAACAAACTGTAACCAAGGGGATTCCAATAATTATAGATAGCGGTAGATTTCTAAAGAATGCAAAAGTAAGACTCCATCAACATTGCTGTATCGCTGGTAGAGTTGTCATAGTAAACTATGGACTCTTAATTTTCCTCGTATGCTCTTCAGGTGTACTTGCATTTCTTTATTGTAGAGCCATGGAAATCAGAATTTTAAAAAAGGAAAAAATGCAAATCTATGAAGCCTGTAATAGATGCTATTAGTTTTGTCTGTTAGTGCTCAAACCTTGAATAACCATTGCTTTTAAAAACAAATGAAAATACATGCCTGCTTGTACAAAAATATTAAATGTTTGATTTTTGTCATTAGAAACACTGCTTTCCTACATAGTTTTACCTGTAAGGATTTTTAAGTTCTTCTGTGATGTAATTGAGTTGATTCCTGGAAGGAAAAATATTTGTACAATGTTATTAGCAATTAGATGTTGAAATACTGATATATTAATGAAGTCAGGTGTTATTTCTTGTGTTACTGTTTTTTACCTCCTCAGTTAAAAAAAAAAAAAGGTACAACCCATCTTTTAAGTGGTAAAACTGCAAGACAAAGAACTATGTGAGCTTCTTATCCAAATACCAGCCTCTTGGTTTACCATCTTTTCCTCCATTATCTTTTCCTCCTCACAGTTTTAGAAGTATCTCTTGAGATTTAGAAATGAGATTTTCTTAGTCCTTAGATAAAATATCCCAGAATAACAAACCCAAAATTTGGCAGACATTTATCTCAAATTTACAAGGTTGCCTTCAAACTTCAAGCTTTGCAATGTCTGAGTCTTAAAAGCACAAGCGTACCCATTGCAAGGACTGAAGCAAGTCTGCTAATGTTTCACAATTGTTTTATAAGTCATATTGTCTAGAAAACTGGCATGAAAACCTTTTTAAGGGTTACATTTATCAAAATTACAGTTTCCAGATACTCATTTTTGCTAGAGCATGTAGACCAGATTGAAACAAGATTTTTACTCATCCACTTCTGAAAATGTGAGGAGGAGTTGGTATTTACAGTTCAACGCGCTAATTTTCAAACGTCGGTGCCTGGTGGTTACATATTGAAATAATTCTTTAGACACCAGTTTCCCTGCCCCCTTAAAAAATCTAGGTGAATGCCTGAATTAGCAGACTTACATGCCTGAGTTGAGACACTCAAGCTTGGAAATAGAACCTGAAAGAGTAATCCATTTAAAAATAAATTCAGTTTTAAGCATCTAAATGGAACTTGCTTTGTTGTAAGTTAAGACTTACATCAGTTCCTTCCAAAACATGGATCTATATGCAAACTTTTACAGTTTGAACATTTAAGAATAGCATTAATGGATCAGACCTTGATATTAGATTTGTGCCAACAGAGCCCTAGACCAACTGACATTCCCTTTAGTTTCAGGAAATGAAACATCTAAACTATTTTCTGGACTGTGGCCGATGAAGTTACATATTCCTGCCAGTAAATAAGCTGCTGCTTATGAAAATAATTCTAGAAAGCACTCTTCTGAGTATTAAATATAAATGCTGTATGTAGAACATAAAAACCTAAATCCATCCATATCTGATTATTTTCAAATTTGAAGTGTTTTCTTAAATCTATCATGGTAAATAATAATGGATAAATAGATCTGGGTATTTAAAACTGAAAGCATCTCAGGGAAGACGACTTCAATGTTTTTACATTAGTTCCAAATGAAACTGAATAAGAAAAAATTTGAAAGTTGAACCTTATGAATTCTGACATTTTTTTTTATGTTCTCCTGTACTAATCAAACACCACTACATATTTCACCAGAAATTGAATTTGATTGGGTACCTGTAGGGGCTCTGGGAAGGCTGTTTTTCTGTAACATAATGGAATTAAACTGTGCTTTGTTCTTCTCATTACCACAGTAGCTAAGCACCTTCAGCAGCAAAGCAGTAGCCCTTTCAGGATCTAGTACAGCTTCTTTCCCTACTAAACAGCAACTTGAAGATTCGAGAGTTTTAGGGGTTTGGGGTCTTAGTTTGTTTTGGGTGTGGGTTTTTTGTTTCATTTTGGTTTGGGTTTGGGGGGGTTTAACCAAACTGGTGTTCTTTTTCTGGAATTCATTAAGAGATTCTTAATAACAGTTTGGGTGTTAGCTTTTTCAGATCACATCTTTGAGTTCTACAGGGAGAGAATAAACCAGTTAAAGGCTGTTAAACTGTAACCATTAATGCTAGTAAAGATACCTTACCATCCATCATATGCCCAGAGTCCATTATAAAATGCCAAACTTATAGAACTAACAGAAATTTTGCTGTCCTTGAAAGAATCTTCAAAGTTTTCAGTTTTTCCTGCAAATAAGACATAGATTACTGATTAGTGTTGAAATTAATTCCTTTAATCCCTGCCAAATGAAGAAACATTTCAACATCTCTTTCATGATTTGAAACATCTCACTGTTAAAATCAGTTAATACCAATTTTTATTAATTGATCTGCAGTGTTGCATTTCCCACCCACCCTCTTCTCTAAAAGAAAATACCGTAGTTCCCAAGAGATCTGGAACTAAAACACTGAATAAAGAGAGCCTTATTGTTGTGCCACTTCTGTCAATGGGAAGTTTTTTAATGGTCATAGCAGAAGCTAAAATAATTTTGCGAGTATATTTAATTACCTTGTGCAAGGAGAACAATTCCACTTACAATAATGATTGTGACAATGATCATTTTAGCAGCTGTGAGAAAATTCTGGAGATAGCTTCCCAGCTTCACACTCAGTGAATTCACTATTGTAATTATCACTAAAAGAAAGAAATTTATGAATTTCTCTGTTAAATTTGTCAGAATTGAAGGAAAAGTTGCCTCTTAAAACCTTCTCCCCCCCCCCCCTTATTTACTGTACTGCTTTTTCCTTCCACTGTTTGTCTATATTATTAATACAGTTTTTTAACATACTATGGTTGGATAACTTCTAAAATAGTGAGGAAAAACAGTTTTCTGAATTAGATTTTGGCAGTACCTTTAACAAAAAAAAGTATTGAAGTTGCAGAGCATTCTGATAAATACAAAAACAGTATCTCCACACGAAATTTTTTTTTCCTTTTCTGCTAGAGATAAGCATTCATTGCACAGCTGTAGCTATCTTTAAATAAAGAATAAAAGAAACTTAGGCTAGGAACAAACCATTTTTAAGCCTATCCTTTTTATATGTTGTTGAAGTAGTTATTGTGGGAAGGACTTGCTATACTGTGTTCCAAAGTTTCCTGTTGTTTTCAGTGTAGGGTCACTTCCTGGTGTCTTCATGAAGATTAACTTACTGAAGTCTCACTATGCTGAAATGCATTCATTGATGGGGGCCAAACGGAAATTGCTGTGCAATTATGGATCTTGTCTCTTTCTTAAAAAGTATGAATCTTACCAATGGCAGCTGCTGCAAGACACTTGATGACAACTTGGGGTGGATCACAGCCTGGATAAAAAGGAGCTGATGCATATTCCGCAAAGCTGAGACAAATGATTGCGAATGAACTGGGTTTTGTGACGAGTAAGCTTGTCCAAGAAAACAAAAATGCTGGAATTGGGCCAAATGCCTCCATAAGGTAAGGATATTCTCCCCCAGATTTTGTGATCATTGTACCAAGCTCAGCAAAACAAAGTGCACCTGAATAACGAGAAAAGCATTTATTACTGGTTTAGTTCATACACTTGTTAAGCTATGACTGGCTAGAACAGATTATCACTTTTTCATAGGTAGAGAAGTTATGGAAATGGATACGTACAATGCATCATTAATCTTCATGTTTCTGTACATTTTACTATATATGCAAAATAATCCTAATTGTGAGCAACTGGAAAAAAAATGTACTGAAACTTTTAATTCACAGCCCGGGATTTACTACTATTGGTGTTTAAGACTTCAACAAAGAAAGTACAGGCATTCTCATTTCATGTTGGATTTCTGTTTAAGAAACCAACACTATAAGAAGCACTTAAGTGACAACTGCACTGGCTGACCTACCTTTTGGAAACTTGAAAAAAATAGACTTGGTGCACAATTTTTAAGTAAAATGTCTACTAAGCTCAGCTTTAAAGTGCAATGATACTTCTAGATTTATTGCTGTAGCTGTCATCTTGCATAAATATGCCATGTACCTGACACAATGGCCAAAGAATTCCTTTTGTTTTCCTGAAGTATTTTGAGGTGCTTAGTGCTAAATTTTCAGATAATAGAATTAGATTTACACAGTTACACAAGTAGAAAAATAGCAGAAGTACTAGCTCACTGCCAGTAAATTTCATATTTTGCCTGCGATTTAAGTAGAAAAGTATTCTCTTTATTACAGTTAGTGAAAGAGGTAAGCAAAACTAAAACTTGCTTTCAAAATGAACTGAAAATGGGCTTTACAATTTTAAAAACTTCATTTTTCTTTTAGAAAGAGTACGTATTTTAAATTTTTGCCCAAGTACTGCTACGCTCCTCAGGATATGATTGATTTTGATCTAAGTGCTATTAGCTAATTTGTGGAATGAGAGTAGTATGCAGAAACAGAAAGATTTAAGCAAAGATTCAAACTATCTGTTGACTCCTTTACCTAATGTTGCAAGAATTCCACAGGCTGCCCAGATGGTTAAGCAAGGACCCACAGCTCCAACATTGGCAAGTACTGATTTTGGAGAAACAAAGATACCTGAGCCAATAATTGTACCAACAATCATACAGATTCCACTGATGAGGCCCACCTTGAAATAAAATGAGATGTTTTGGTAAAGCAATTTATAATAATAATTTTTGGTGTAATACAATTACAGTAATTGTCATCACTGACTTTTGGGGTTTTTCAGCTTTCAACTTGCAGCTTCTCCAGAGAAATATATTAAACTATGTGAAGTTTCTCTCTTCTTTCCAAGATGCACACACATCATGTGGCATACTCCTGCTGTTTCCAAAAGTACGGTTACTTGGACTTTGCCTTCCTGTGTATTTGCTTTATTAAACCATCCTTTGGATTATGTGGGTCTCAAATCTAACCTTGTATAGAACATTCCCTTTCCACTCTTTGATTAAACACTGAAATTCTTTTATGAGCCCTTGAAAAATCTGAATCTAAGCTTCAGAATTTTGCTTTCTTAGATGCAGTCTTATTTTTCTTTTCTTTCAGCAGTTGTTTTCCTCTCCTTGCTTCAGGTGTTTGTGCACAGGAATTGTCTTGATACTGTTAGGTGGTGAAAAGATCGTGTTCTCCTCACTTTGTAGTCGCCTACATGTTACATGACACTACTAAAACTTGAGGCATCTCCTGCTATAAAAACAGTGGCGTGGGCTACTTAAATTTTCCTGTTAGCTATGGCTAGTCTAATAATATCAATACTCTTCCAGTCTTGGCACCAAACTAAAACCACATAGAGAATCTTTTTCCAGGTTACTTAAACATAAAGAGGAATTCCACTCCCTGCTGAGAACAGGTGGCACATCTGTTTTCTAAAGCATCTGTAGTTTTCTGGAGGAGATAAATTTTCACTTGTATTTCTGTACCAGTGGCTATTTTATGGCTATAAACACTAACAAATTTTTGGAAGCAATGAGCTGAACAACCCACTTCAGCCTCTGAGAAGTACATGTAGAAGGAAACAGTAAAATCTGTGAAGCATCTCACTTGATCAACTTTGAAGTTATCAGACAAAAAAAATAATTCAAAGACTTAAAAAAGACCCAAACATTCTTACTTTTTAATTGTGTTATATCAGAGCTATTTAATTGGTAATTAGCAGTTTCCTAAAATGTAAACCAACCACACCGTCAAGATATTAGTGCATCACTGCTAAATTGGGATACAGTTGCAGTTTTTGTATGATGATGCATGTGCACAGATACCCCCCCTACTGCCTCCCTCTGCCAGCCCTTCACATGCACACGGACTGAAGGGGGAAAAGAAAAAGTTTTGCCTGCTTTTGTAGGTTTGTCGTTTGGGGTTCATGACTCTGAATGGATTCTCCATCCTCTTTTCCGTTGTTCTCTCCTTTTCTTTTTCTCAAGCTTTCTTTTCCCATTTGGTTTACTTGCTGAAATCTCGAAAGAAATAAAAACAAAATATCAGTCCAGCATGGTAATGTTTGAGTTTTGCTGGTAGATATGGGTCCAAAATAATGTAGGTAAGTATTGCCAGAAAACATACACATAACACGCACACTCTCGCTCACAGGCAAAGGACTTCCATTTTGCTACCTACTCGGAGATTGAAGCAAAGAGGCATTAGGACTACTTCACCTCATCCGTCTGACTTGCTGTGGATTTTCCTCATACCCACCTGGCAGTGAATGTCTTTATCTTCTGTCTCAGGTTACGTTCAGTTGAGAGGATGTCCTTACTGGAACAATCTAGGTTTTATAGCTAGTCCGTCCTTTGAATTCCTCCAGAGGCCCAGACAGATTTAATCTTTCTCCCAAAAGCTGGTCTGTTTTCTTATCTAGGAGACCTTCTTTCTGATCTTCGTTAAATTAGGCCTTGTCCCAGTCCCTTGGAGTTGTAAGTATCTGCTAAACCAAGTGTTGTCTGCTGTAATTGTCTAGTTAGCAGCTCTTTGCCTCAAAAAGAATCGCCAGTCTTCTCCATGTTGACTCGCAGTAAATGCCTTCTACTGAACATTTTGTTCTGTTTAGAATTAGAATGTAAACAGTTTGTTTTCAAATTGAAAGTTAGAGTTGGGGGTGTGGGGATTTTGCTTGTTTCCCATAGTACTGGAATAAAATACAGCCTGAGATGGTGAAGGGAACTGATCAGGTTAGGACCCGATTCTCAAAAGTTGATTCAGTTAAAAGTGTCTTCTTTCCTCAGACCCTACAGCTATAATTACTGGAATCTGAATGTTGAAGATCATTTTGCAGTTATGCAGACAGTAATTCAGGAATGCATCATGTTCAGGCAACTTAGCTAGTATCCAGTAATTCTTGGCTACAAAAGTGTAGCATTTTAAATTGACAGAACGTCTATCTCAGTACTGCTGGTCTTCAGAAACTTTTGGACTATAAAGACAGCCAGGTTTTTTTGAATTGAAGATTTGTAGAAGAGACTGTCATGAATCCAACTTTTAAGATTAAACCTACAACAGAAAATTGCCCACGTAAGGAATGCAGGGCTTGGGTCACTGAATTTTATTAAAGCTTTGTGCCCAACTTCTTTCTTTAAAGTTATGTATTTAGAATGTTCTAATCATTGTCTTTTAGCAAATCATAATTTCACTTACCTTATTTATTTATATTTGTTTGGCATTAATTGTGTCCAGGAATCCTTGTATAGTGGATTTCTTTATTTCTCCCGTTAGATTTACCAGCTAGTTAGACAGCAAGACGTGTCCATATCTGAAACCAAAATACGCAGAAGCAGCAGCAGCTTAAGTACATAGGTTATAAAAGGTAATCATTAAACCCATTCTCAGCCAAGAAGCTTTGAGATAGGAACCACAGGTAAACCAATAGTCCAATTAGTTTATCTTTAAAAAAAAAAAAAGTCTTTGTTCCATTTGTGAGAATGTTTGTCCAGTACCTAAGTAGTATATTACATAGTGAGAGTGAACCATAATTTGAAGAGTCTATTTTGATGATTTTGTATCAAGTAATTTTTAATTTTAAAATACTTTGGAAAGATAAGGTTGAAGTAATTGTCGTATTATTGGCGCATTAAAAACATGTGGACAGATATTAGCTGCATCCTATAAAAATAGTTGATGTTTTTATCTTGAGAAGGTAAAGAAGTATGAGCAGAAATTTTTCCTTTGTTTTTCATTAACCTGAAGGCAGCTGAGTGGGCAGCTTGTGTTCCCTTTACTTGCAGTTCCAAGTTTTTATTTTTGTATATGTTCAAAAATCTTCTAAATCATTAAAATAATTTAGTGAAAAATGCCATTCTCTATACAGTGGTATATCCAGGAAGAAAAGATTGTTATCCTGAATGCTGAAATAAGGTAGTTTCTTTCATTCCAGCTAGTCATCCTTAAAATACTTGCAAAAAAAAAAAAAAAAACTTAATCACGTTTCACTTCATTGTTTTTGGCAGTGCAGTTGTACAGCTCCTTTCCTGTACAACAGCCAAACCAGTAAGTCCTGATCAACCTGATCTAACTTCAGCTGATTTTTTTTCAATAAACATCTACTGTTAAAAGCTAAAAGATGTACTGGTGTTAGTCACTGATGTTAAGATTTGTTATCTTGTTAAGATAATGCCTCATGAACAATAGTAGTACAGGATTAGAAATAAGACCACATTGTTGGACGTAAGTATCAACAAAACTGTATCCTGGCACGATTTGACAGTTGTTTCTCTCTCTCTCTCTCTCTCCCTCTCTCTCCCCTTTCTGCTTAAGCATGCAGGCTTGATCAACAGGAATTCCCATCTTTTGTAATGTTGGTGTAAATCTGTGACTAAAAATGGACTCTAAGAAAATGTGAAACAGACTTATATTGGTTTGTATTTGCCATGTTTTGTGCTGGTTGAGCCAGACTCTGTGCTTTGAATGTCTTTCTCCGAGAGTGAGATTGTAAAGTAATATCAGTACTGAAAACAAAACCAAAGCTGTGGGTTTTTTTAATCACTATCTGACTTTTTCGTCTGTTTTTCTTGTTTCATTTTCACAGAAATAGGGTTAAGCTTCAAGAGAAGCTCTTTTGTCTTATCTGAACAATGGTCAGACAAAAGTTCTTTTTTTCCTACAGATAAAGAGAAAAAAGAGTGTTAAAATTATAGTCTTACTGCAAGCATGCAAAAAGACAGATACCAACAACTTCTTTTGCTGCATCTTTTACAAGGTCTTTAAAATATTTTTCATGGTAACAGTGATGTAGGATTAAATAAACTTATGGGTTTATATCCATCAATTGCAGGTGCCTCATTTGGGATCAGATATCACATAATGTACTTCTATGTTCTCTATAGCTGATAGTTTTGAAATTAAGATTTATAATCTTCTCAACATTCATCTGTTTTTCATAAAATGCCACAGAGATTATTGAAATAGCTAATGTGAAAAGAAAAAAGAATGGGGGAAATCATACTATGGGGCTAATTTTGTCCCTCAAAATAGAGTAGACACATGTTTCACATCATCTCAACCCTGGAATTTCCAGACCAACAAAAAAAAAGGGGAAAAAAAAACCTTACGTAATTTTGATGAAAAGATAATGGAGTTCATCATCTTTAATGCTATATTAAATAAAGTTTTGTTTAGGTTTTTTTTTACTTATTTAGTGTAGGTAATCATTGAAATTTTTGTGCAGAGGTATGTTCTGCACATCTTGATGTTTCCAGATGTCTTTTCTTTCGGCATCAGATCTATACTCTACTTTGTTTCTTCAGATACAATAAAGGCAACACTGAAAATATGTTGCTTGAGTTTTTCCCGAAGCAAAAAGTTTCTTTAGTCAACCTGGACTGTGTATTTGGAGAGTTCCTGTCTGTTCAATAGGTGTCTTTAAATCGCTGCCAGTGACTTGACCTTAACTAGTCTGTGTTTCCTTATAAAAATAGATATCTTCATTTATGGTCTAGTTTTGTTTTAGGGGTTAATCTTCTTGGGATGCTATAAGCTTCTTAAAGGATTTGCAATTTTACTGGCAATCCTTCTTTTCCTCAGCCACTTAAGGAAAAAATAAACATGGAGTTAAAGAATTCTACTGTTATTTTCTTCATGGACAAGAGAAATGGGATTTTACAGCTGTGGGAAAAGACTCCTTCCCTCTCAAATATATACATAGATGAAGAGATCAAGGAGTTCAAATTCCAAGGGGCTGCAGAAGCAAACACTCTGTGGGCTGGTCCTGACTAAACAGTGTAGTTTGAACCTTTTCAAATGCTATTTGCCAATTAAATCGTAAAAAGTAATTTTCAACTTTAATTCGGGAAAAGCAAGGGCACAGTGTATAAATGCACCTTTTATTATCATTAGTCACTAATAATAAAGGTTAATGTTTGTTAGGGTTGGTATTTATTGCTTGCAGTAATGCACATGTTCTGCTTTGACCAATACTTAAGCAAATGGTAAGGATCATTCTAACTTGCAGATTTTAATTGTAGCTTAGCAGTATCTCAGAATGGGTACTTTCCATTCTAACCTTGCTACTTAGCAGGTTACCTAATTTTAATTAGAAGACGGGTCTGTTTACTTGCACTTGCTTTTCTTTAAATCCTACCATTAATAGATGTGCTGTAAGAAGTGATGATCTCACTATTGTCATCCTCAAATGCATTTTAATTTTTTTTCTGAGTAATTGCAGGCATGCTGCAAGTGGAATATAAGAAAACAGTCTTTTTTAATAGCTGTGTTGATGCTGGGTTATGCTACTGGATCTCAAGATTTTTGCATCTTGGGGGAGTCAATAGGAAAGATTAGATGACTATGTAGTTCTTAATGCCCATTGTATATACAGTTTCCAAATATCTGCATTTTTTTCCCTACTTTGTTCTTTGTTACAGTGTAGTTGGTTTTGCCCATGTGACAAACAAGGCTGTTGAAGAGATTTTTAGGTTTGCTAAAGGTTTTGCACTAGACCTGCCTGAATAGTACACATTTTTTTGTAAGACAAAGATTTTTTTGTATTATGTTTGGTTTTTTTAAAGCACAGCTGTTCAGAGGCTTCATAAATTTGTAGATGCTGGGTATGTTGTTGTATCCAAAAGATCGCAAAAAAACCCAAGGAGTCTCTTCTTAAGGATATTCTAAAGGAATCATGATGGCCTCTGAAGAAAATTAGCTTGACTATATCGAATTAGGGTTTTTTCAGAGCATTCAGGAGCCAAAGTTTTTAAGTGTTTCAGAGCCTGATCAGAATTGGTGATTTCTCTCATATATAGCCAGCTTTTCTTCTTTTTCCCTTTGAGGAACAAGCGTCTCACTTTGATCTCTTTTTTGAGTCCAAAATTCAGGTCGCATTCTATTGCTGTTTCGTCAAGGAGGGGTTACCAGATAACATTGGCTTTGGAAGATGGCATCTTTAGCGTGCCCTTTTCTAGCTGAGGGAGAAGGCATTGAATACTGAAGTGCTCCGCAGAGGTTACAAAG